TGTACACAAAGCAACGGCGTTTAGTATCAGTCAACGTTTTGGTGACGCAACCAGCGCATTCAAAACATGCATCCACACACGAAATTAGAGAGATGGAGATAACACAGCGGCAGCGGCAGCAGCAAGCACACACAGTCATTCGTAGTGAATTTAATTTTTGAAATGAGCGTGGTTTTAACGCAACCGAAACCATCATTGCACATTCTTACGCACGATCGTCACAACGACGTTTTATCCAAAGCTCAGTACACAACACATTGCCTGTTTCTGTACTCAAATTTATGGCGGCAAATTTAAATTTTCTCTCGTTCGCTCAGGGCAGCTCGCGAAAACAAACCAATAAAACACCAATTCTTCATTCATTTAAATCACATGATTTTTCAGTTGGACGTCAAATTTGCTGCGCAAACGAATCGTTTCGCTATTTGAAACTTGGCTGAGGAAAAATATTTCGTTGCTGTGTGTGCATGATGTTGTTTTTTCTTCAGTATTTTCTATTTGAAAAATCGAAATCGGTGTGGAAAAATCGGGTCGAATGTTGTTCGTTTTGTGTCTACGTGCACAACAACTCAGCACAGCAAAGCTTGTACGTCAAAAGCATGACTATATGTATTAATGTATTATATATATATATTTTTTCGCTATTCGCGCGCTGTTCATTTTTCACAAATGAGCGTTATTTTTGCCGTTGTTGCCATTGCTATCGACGATTTTCAGACTTTTCAAGCTTTATACAATCACCTCGCCACACATAACATTTCTAACGATTATTTTCAAAACCGACAGAGCTCAAATGAAATGTACGGTGTTGATGTTGTTGTTGTTATTGGTGGTTTTTTTTTCTTCTTCTCTCTGTTCGTTTTACGTAAAAGCAAAGGCACAAAAGGCAGACCCAAAGCGTAGTTAAACAGAAAATTCATTTAAATTATTGCCTACACATCGAAACGAGCACTCGCTTCGATTGTGATTCGCGTGTTATGTGATAGAGCCGCCGTTGTCATCGTCGTCGTCGTCGTCGTTGTTGTCGTTGTCGTTGTCGTGGTTCACGTTGGCACAAATCAAACAAAAAGGGAAACAAAATTGACTTGTTAGTCACAAAGAATAGGGATGGTGAGCATGAAACCGAGTCTAGTTCAGTTGAAATGAATCCCGAAGCGATGAAGAGGGCGCTGCGTTTGGAATTCCCTATTCGAGAGATAGCGAATCCTAAGATACTGTTCGGCTTTGGGTTCCTTTTCCAACAGACGAGCGGAAAAAAGAGACAGAGAGAGAGCACACGATATCATCGACAATCGATGTGTCGACCAAAGAAGCGAAGCAAAGCCAAGTGAAGAACACATTAAAACGAAACACACGAAAAATATTTGGTATCGCTTTGCGCCGAATGTACACACATTGTGTGTTTGTCGTGTCGGCACAGAGGATTAGGTGGGCTGTGCCGTGCTGTCCCCGGCTCAGTCACCGAGAATTTCAGTGAACGGGCGAAAAATGTGGGTACAACTCGAACAACAAAATATTGAGTCCGGGTATTAAACCTCATAGCATTTATCACAAATATATGTACGTATACATATATGTATGCCGAGGCTGTGTGTTATTGTTGGCAAAGATCTCTTTCCTCCGTCTTTCTGGTGTGCTTCGGTCTTTTCGGTACGCTATTCATATCAACAGAGCATTTTCGGTCGTTCATATAATCAAACGAATGGTGTACCCATATAATACACAAAAGAGTACAATGAAAGTTCGTGCATTTCGAGGCAGCCACGGCAAAGCAGTACCAAGAGTCTTTTTTTCGGGCTCGACAAGAGTGCGAGGAGAACGGGAGGGAGCGAAAGAGTGTGTGTGTGTGTGTGTATGTGTGTATGGATTTCCACAGAACACATTCACATAAATCGAATAACAGCATCGAAATAATAATAACAATAATGAATCCCATTCGAGCGCTCGCTCTTTCTCTCTGTGTGTCGTTTCATTCGTTCGCCCGCTTCGAATGTGCCGAATGGGCAAACAGAGGCATATGACGACGACGACGACAACGACAGCACAGAACATGCACGATGTGATGTGTAATATTGGCTCTGTGGCTCAACAACACACAACACTCGCTATAGCTATGGCTCTTTATTTATACTTCATGTTATACGAACCAGAGGGAGAGAGAGAGTGAGTGTCTGTAGAGCAAAATGCACAGGGCTACACGATATTATTCAAATCCACATCTCCAACAAAATAAAATAACGAGCACTGGCTCTCGTTCAAATTCGTTCGTTTGTCGCTTCGTTTATTTAATGCTGCCTTCGCATCCGAGAGAGCGAGAAATAAAGCGAATGCCAAAGTGCCGTAGATTCATCGCATGTTATATTATTATATTATATTGTATCTACGGTATTTCTGCCATTGCCGTGCTGTTCTTGTTCGACTCTGTTTTATATTCCCGCTCTTGCTTTTCGTTCATTTGCGTCTCTCTCGCTCTGTGTTCTCTTGACGAGCAAACAGAAAGAAGCGAACACAGAAGAAAAAAAACAACACACAACAACGACCAATACGCATAACACAGGAAAAAAAACCAATATCGAAGTTGTTGTTGGATTTTGAGCTCAAGCATACCAAGGAAAACGGTCTACGAGGAATTTGAACAAAACATCGGCACCGTAACCAATGCACTACACGAACTGTTCACGATTCAGCCCGATCTGGTGACGACAGCAACCGAATCAACTTCGGATCGTCAGTATGCGTATGGTGAATGTTCGAATGCTTTCTACACACTGTGGATATGTGCGGGGCCAAAACACGTTGTATTTTATATTTTATGCGCAGAGCGAACATTTTCAAGTTATATTTTTAATGGAAAAAAGCGAGAAGCAACAAAACAGTGAAGCGAAGAGAAGAAGAAGAAATAAGAAGAGAGGAACAGAAAAAAACATCAACAACCCATAGAATAAAGTCGGCGCGCTAGCGATATATATATATATATATACTTACACACAAAATGCGATATAACATTTTCGAGCTGAGTGTGGCTCGGCTCTCGGCTCAGCATACAGCGCTCTCGGTACATTTGTTCATTCGTTCGTTTTACGTTTTCTCATCATCATCATCATCGAACAGTTTCTTCTTTCTCGTTTCGTTTGTTTCACTCCATTCGCCATTTGATGGTTTTGTTCATCGCCTGATGTGCGCATATATATATATTTTTATATTGAGATATACGGGGCTCTCTCGCGCGCTATAGCGTTGTGTGTACAACACTCTCTGCTATTGCCGTCCGTATTGTTTGCTTCGTTCGGCTGGCTCTGTGTAGCAAACGATGATATGACGAGATGTGGTGTATACGAAAAATTCAATGTAAATTCTCGTGTGTCGTTCTCTTTTTCCCTTCATTCGCGATTGTCTGAATTGTGTGGTGCTGTTGCCGTCGTCGTCGTTGTCGTTGTCGTCATTTCTGTTGTCGTTCTCTGCTCTCTGTTCGCCCGTGCAATGCGTTGCTACAAGACTCTTCACCGTGATGTGCTTTGTGTTGCTTAATCGTATCTTATGACTATTCGTTCGCTTCGCTTTTCGATATTGTTTTCTTACTTATTTTTTTCCCCTACTTCTTCTTTTTCATTTTCGTATTCATTTGATTCTTTTATTCATTACGTGTATTTTCCTCTCTTTCTCTTGCATTTTGTTTCTCTTTCTCATCGTTTGCTTCGCCTTTTTATTTTTCTCTTCTCTTGTGTTGTTATTGTCGACGTTTGTTACTTCTTCTTTTTTTCCTTTCGTCTATTCCTTTCTCGCTCTTTCTCTCTGCCGTTTCGTGTGTATGTGCTTTTTCCATAATTTTTTTTTTCTTCTCTTTATTTTATTCGCTTTCGAGTAAATACACTGTATGTTTTGTTGTTATTTTGCTTCTTTTTTTTCGACTTCTCTCCATTGCCGTTCCATGAAATTAAAAATTGCGAACATAAAGAGACTTTGCACAACAGCCCGATGCTTCATAAGACACCAAATCCATTTTTCTTTACTTTTTTTCTTCCTATCGCACACTCTGGCTTTTCTCCAGCCCAGCAACACAGACACACAAGATTTTGTTTACAACCAAAACGGTAAAAACGAAGAGAAATAAAAACGCCAAAGATTGTTTCACTCAAAAATATAATCAAACAAATGAATGTCCGTTGCGAGCGACTCATGTGAACACTTCCAATTCCAATGCCGTGTGCCAAACAATAATAATGATGAGAATGAGAGAAGGAGAGAAATTTCGAATTAAACTCAAGCCATCACCAACAATCTCGTGTTGGTGTTGTATATGCGAGGATCTCTCTTCGTTTTGCATGTTAAAAACTGCCAACGATACCACCTAATGGTCTTTTGGAATGATATGTTCGGGCTTTCGATCGATTGTTCGATGGTACATAGAATGGTTCTTGCTGAGAATCGAGCTATGCTTGCGCTCATGTGCGCGCGCACACACACGATCTCTTTCTATCGATGCATCGAAACGCAAAACACGGAACTCAGTATGATCATAATGAGTTAGCCGTTTTGTTTACTATACACGCGCAATAAACTGAATATCACAAATTTTTTTTTTGCGCAATCACCATGAATTTCCAATATCGCTCTCTGCCGTTCACCTAACAATGCGATTGAGGAAGCAATGAATGCAAAGCGTACGGCAAACGAGCACGCTCGCGCTCTTTCGTCAAAAAATGACTTTTATGGTTTTTACGTTAGTCACACAACGGTACATTATGATTAACAATGACACCGAATTTCCTTAAGCGATCCCATGCCAATGCCAACATTGGCGCATTTCATCTCACGGCGAGAAAAAAAAAATGCTGAAAACTGATGTATCCCATACGTCTATGATCAAATACACTCAATGTACATATATTGCTGAAGGTGCTTTCTAGCACACGCAAATCTTTATCACATACATTTTTAATACATTCCACAAATAATCGGCTAACCATTTCTCTCGTTACTTTTCTTTCGTTCATTTGCAGATTTTTCACGAAAAGGAGACACGAAAATAAAGCCAAACCGAAAGCTTTTCGTCTTATTTTCGTTTCGTGCATACATTTTATTTCGCTTCGGTTAAATAAACGATGCTAACAACAATTGAACATCTGGATGGAAACAGTTGCTCATCATTCAATGATTGAATCGGTAAGTAATAGGTGATTTTTCTTGAGAATTTTTGAGAAAAAATCCACGAATCAAATCCATTTCTTATTTGGAGATTTAGTGCGAGTGCATTATTGACGCGTGCAAAATCACGACAAATTTCCTCTCGTTAATGATCAAATATTTGCACAGGCACATTGGCAGTAACAGCGGCTGCCACACCATCGATGCCGTCGTCGTCAAATGAAAAGTCAAACAAAAAGCCAGAAGCAACCAGATATATCTTTAGTCAATATATGAACATTTTTTTTCGCTGTTGTTGTTGTTATTGTTGAATTAAAATTATATTCTATGATGTATTTGAACAGCATTCGCACGTGTATCGCGCTTTTAACTGAACTCAGCGTATCTCTGTTTGTTTTGTTTCTACCACAGCCATTCATGAATTCATTCATGTAAACATTTTTTTTTTTGCAATCAGGAACTGTTTTTCACGCTCATCGTGAAACAAAAATAAAACAACAACAACGGCAGCACAGTACACGAATCGAGCAAATAAACTACAAATACAAAAGGCGGCAACAAGCCAAACAAGGCACAATAGATTTGACTTTTAAATTGAAACAGTTAACCAAACACTTTGCGACAAGCTCACGGCGTCTTAAATTGTACCGAGACTGTTCGTTCGTTTACTCGCGCTCACTCACACACTTCTACAACCAAAGAGAACATTTCGCAGTGTCTACTCAACTGAATAGAGCAACAATGTGTCATTAACTACCTGCGTTTGTCAAACTAAGTTTGCCGAAAACGAAATTATTTTACGTCGTTTCACATAGTTTGAAGCGCGACGCTAAGCGCGCTATGATTTTTCTTTGAAAGGCATACACAAATACAACAGGTGCATCACCATTGACTTGACGGTTTCATTTTGGTTGCAAATGTATACCGAATTATGTGCATATTCAAGTACATACAATTTCAATGGATTTTTTTTCTATCCACTTCTACTGCCATAGAAGAAAATACACACGAGTTCATTGATAAAAATGGTAATTAAAGCCCATTTAAAACCGAAAAAAGTAGCAACAATAAAACACACAAACACTTGCCATTGTAGTAAAGAAAAAAAGAGCGTGTATTAAAGGGAAAAGAAGCGTTTTTCGCGGCAAAAAGATTTCTACGGCTGAAGATTTCTTTTGATCTAGCATTGTTCAATGGCGAACCAGATTCATAAAATGTATTTATCATATTTTTACATAGTTTTTTTTCTCTCTTCTTCCCTTTTCTTGCTTGGCCTCTTTGTCATTCGTTTGCCAATGAATCGGATGATTCATTGTGACTCGCGCCAAAGTGTACACTGTACATAGGTTTTTGTCATTCTACCCTTATTCCATTTCGATTCCAACATTCACCCGAAAATCAACCTTTCGTCGGAGCATAAGTAATATATTCGCAATATAAATGCGGAGGGTGTGTCTCGCCTCTTTCGACGACGACAACGACGGCCGTTTTTTTTTTCTTCTTCTCTTCTCTTTCTCATTTTGCTCGCATATGTTCAAGAGTGTGTGTGTATGTTTGCACCGTGCGCCGTTGCATACACGCGTTGATTTGTCATGCATTGTTTTGCTCACTGGAGCAAAGAGACGACGAAAATGCACGGCCAAATAAAAAGTGAATTTGTACCATATATTCAATCATATAGCAACGGAAAAAACGCATTAACACACTGCAATCGAAAATCGGGTGGTGTGCCATGCTCTCTTTTTTTCCTCCGTTCATTTCATTCGGATGCATTCTTTGTGTGGAAAATTGGCTTCTCGAGCCCAAGCATCCCGTTGCCATTGTCGTCGATTTTCATTTTACCCGATTAAATAGTCCACGCGCATTGAATGTGCGTATGCAGTTGGCGCGATATGATTATATGAAATAAACCAAGGAGAGGGAGAGGATAAAAAAAAACATATCCAATATTCGATGTGGGTGCGAACTGAACACAAGTGAAAGTTAGCCAAGATAGAGTATGACTGGTTGGATGTAGGTGCAGCAATAGCAAACAGCAACACAGATGATTTTTTCTTTCAATTAGTTAAATGATAGAAAATTATATGGGTCGCCACATTTTGACCATTTTGCATGTGAAAATAACTGATCTCAACGATATTCGAAGAGTTTTAACGGTTTATCCGGTGAAATTGCAATTTTCAAATGAGCGACGGGTGGCAATGACGATATAGTCAGTCGTCATTCCCATTCGAAACAATGACGCATTGCGTTAGAATGCATTTTTATTTGGAATACAAAACCAATTGTAATTTATTCATATGGCCAACGCCACCGCATCGCCTATTCAATAGGTTTTGTAGATTATGATTCTAGATAATACGGCAGTAATGCAGTCAAAAATATCGACCGAATTTCTTCGTTTTTCATCCGAATTTCGGTTTTGAGCACACATAACCACAGGCATATATGTAGCGAAGACAAGCCACTCACGAACTGCAAAAGATATGGCATCATAAATAAATATATGCATGCGGAGAAGAATCGGTGGTTCTGAGAGTGAGCGAAAGAGCCATGCATAGGGGTTGATTTGAAAGGATAATAGTCTATTTGAAGGTCGTCTGAAACATAATTTATTGTGCATGCACACACATATTTCCACCAACAATGCACGAACGAGAAGGACAGAGAAAGAGAGCGAGAGAGAGAGAGAGAACGACCCGCACAAAAGGACAAAACGTATATCGTAGACATGCGACGATTGTAGCCGCTCTTTCGCGCTTTTGCACTACACAACCAACTCTTGTACTGATATATTATGTTTATGTATGGAGCTGTTCCAAGCTCGTCACTGTAAAATGCTCTTGATATTCCGTACATATATTTCTATGAAAACCGAAAAAGAATTATGTATAACATGTACAATGTGCCTTATAGCTATAACACACAGCTTTGCTCCGTTCAATGCGTTATGCATGCTTCAACCATATACGTATTTAAACCATGCTCGCATTTTTTTCTTCTTTTTCTTCTATCCAACTCATGCAGTTGATGAAAGTCAGTGAAAAAAAAAACGCGGCTGATTGAGTAAACGTCTGAGGTTTTCGTAGGTAGCGCAACAAGAATACACCGAAAAAAATATATGAGTGGTTGCGTCTGTACGGCATATCCATTGAAAATCGATACATTATCCGACATCCGATATAGATGGATAGAAAAGTGCTTGCGAAAGCGCAATATTATTCATCTTTTTTATGATGTGCAAAAAATCACTCATCCGCTCGCTCGTTTCGGCTGTGTGTAAAAATGAATCCATGATCTGGACTCTCAATCATCCGAAAATATGAAACATTCAGCTCTCTACTCTTTCCGATCGATTTATTTATTATCTGCGTTCATCACATACTCGTACGCATAAGTCACACATTGCCTTTTATGTGTTTACCCTTTTTTGCCCGTCACATTTTGTGCGTAACGCATCTTTCATCTGTAACCCTTACGGCAATCATCCGTCCACATTTTCCCGAAACAAAATGCAATAAATTACCGATTATCGAGATAGCATGGCAAAACAATGCACCGTTAATAAAGCCAATTTTGCAGGTGCTTTCCCAAACAGCGCCTACTGTGACTTTTTTTTGATGGCAAAGCACAAGTGAACAGTCAGTCATAACAACAAGCAGAGGTAGTAAAAAACACACACACACACACAAACAAACAATGCAATATGCTTAAAGCCACTTCAATACACAAAGTGTTTTATGTAACACTAGAAAAAGCCATAAACCAATGCCGATGCAATTTCGGGTGTTAAATTATTGACATGTTGAGTTGTTAAGAACTGAATAATAACACATCACTTTATGAATGGTCGTAACATACACACTCACATGTAATTCCAATGCACGGGCCACGATGATAATTGATTGCGGAAGGAAGGATTTTCCGCTTTGGAAAAACAAATAGCTCTTCAGCAGTTTTTTTTTCTCTCCATTGTTATTGTTGTAGTTTGGATGCACAGTGCACACGGCACAATCATTGACATTCATACAGTTTATAAATAAAAGTGAGAATCGAGACGCACAAACCGCAGACAATATAGTACATGTGTGCATTGGCATTGGTATTTATTGGATTTCGATCAAAGTGGATGGAATAGATTGAATGAATTTATGGCATTTAATTACAACCAAAGCGTTAATATTTACATTGACTTTATCAATAAGATTAGAAACGGAAAATGGTTTTTCAATAATAATTTTCTAATGAATTTTGTATGGTTTGATTACGGTGGTGGAGCCAATTACAATATATATTAAGTGACATTTAGTTTTGGACATGTATTTATAGATGGTTTGTAGGTGCTGACATTCTTCTTGAAACAATCACATTTAAGTGATAATAAATGGCAAAGCGTCGACCCAAAACGATTACCCATTGTCCATTCAAATGGATAGAGTCTGGATTTAATTATTCTTAACGAACTTTAGGCTAAAAGATGCATCCGTTTATGACTCACACTTTGTACTCGGAAATGTATGTTAAGAAAGTAGTACTGCAAGTGCCTACTGTATCCGAAATTTCCCTTCTGCTTTGTCGATGTCACTGGCGGAGAAAGAGAGAGAGTGAAAAAAAGAACATTGTTGTTTACCAAAATCAACATCATATACTCGGCAACAGTCACTTACTTCCTTCTATTTTCGGATGCTATTCCAATTGCCAATAGAATGGCATGTTCGAATGCGAACAATAACACATTTTAATATATATATATATATATATGTATGTACGCAGTCGACATCCGTTTCTCAGCCGAAGAGACTGAAATTGGAAAGAAAGACCGTAAGAAAGAAACATGAAATCGGCCATGTGTTTCGAACGCAAAGAGCACTACCAAAACTATCGCCTAATGCATTTTTATATATATACACATACACACGGCTGACGATTCGAAAATGTGTTTTCAGTCGACGATGGATTTTTGAAGGCGAACCAGCTAAAATACTATGCTCTGCATGCATGATGGTCGGACCCTCGTT